AGAGNAGGAGAGGGAGAGGGAGAAAATGATCTATGCTTTTTAAATGCATTTATTGAAATTTTTTCTTTTTTTAAAGTACAATGTATTATGGGACACTTACTTCTCTTTTTTTTTCTTTTTCTTTTCCTACTAATTAAATGTAATTATAGACAAGCTTATTTGCATATTGAATTATTTGAAAAATAAAAAAGTTTAATTCATATTTTATAAATAATTGGGATTATTTTAACTATCTTATTCCGGAAATTAATTTCGAATTTTATGTCGATAATTAATTTTAATTTAATTTTAAAGTTTGCTTTAAAAGCACACTTCAAAAGATGATTTGAATTCAAATCCTGTTCCAAAACATAATTAAAAATTTTTGTTTCACTGGTTATTTTGAATTCTGTTCAAATGATTATTGTGAATTTAAATATCATTTCATTCCAATGGTTAATTTAAATCTTATTTCAAGGATTAATTTGTAGCTTATTTCATGGATTAATTTAAATTTTCTTTCAAAAAATGATTTGAATATTATTTTAAAAAAAAATTGATTGAATTTGATTTGACTTAAATTTTGTTTCATTTTTTTGGAATAAATTTAATTTTTCGATTTGATTTACTTCGATTTAAATCGATTCTATAATCTGTTAATTATTCGGCAATAATGGTTGAAATAGTTTAATTCCCATTTCAACCAGTTAATTATCTGGCAATAATGATCGAAATAATGCTGCATTTTTTTCATTTTTAAATTTTAATTTGAACACTAATCATCAAACATTGCTACATATGATCAAATATTGATTTATCTTCTTATCTTTTCCAATGATTTCATTTTACTGATAACTAATTTGCATATAACAATAACAAATTATTACAATTATTTTCAAATAGTTTTATTAATTTTATAAAAAAATTTCTAAAATATAATTTCTATTTCATTCTGTTTGCAAATATATCATTTCATCAAAAATTTAATCATTTCTACACAGAACATTCCTCAGATATAATATGAATAAATGCGATAAATGTATGTATGATATATTTCTGGTTAAACATGAAGCGTAAAATGTTTTCAAAACTAAATTCTAAGATGGAATTAATCACTGATAAACTTTCCTTTCCTCTTTCTTTACTTATCTTTTCCATTTAACCGTTAGAAGCAATATTATTGTGTATAAAAGTTTTTTTCAATAATATTTATTGCTGTATACAAACTACGATATTTACTCCTTTGTGAAAAAGCTAAGAACTAAAAATGTTTGATCAATGCTTGATTGAAGAATTTTTTAAAGCTAATGATATTTAATTCTGACTTAAGGTATGATTTTAGATTTGATGATGCTTAATCATCGGTTTGTGTTAGATTTAATTCTGAATTAAGGAACTTTTCACGTTTGGAAATGGTTAAATATTAGCTTAGAAAACTTTTATAGTGCAAAAGATTTTGCAGAGAGAAAATTACTTCAAAACAATCAAACTATCATTTAAATATTTAATCAAAAAGACTAGAAAAGATTAGAATAGAAATTATTTCTAAGTTTTCATTTTTTTTCTTTTTCCTTTTCTTTTTTTATTTCTAACATAAGAACAGTTAAATATTCGTAAATGAAAAAATGCAAAACTGAAATAAGAAATTAAAATAACAAAATACTACAATGATGGATATAATACGATACTGTAAAGGATCAAATATTTCGGGGGAGGGAAAAAAAAATGAAGACTTTTATCTGGAATTTTTTTGAATTTCAATCTTTGATCATTAATTATTCACTTTTTTTTTTTGTCTAATACAAAATAATCAATTCACAGAGAAAAAAAGCAAGATTTTATTGATATTATTTTTTTTCTTTCATTTTAAATTAACAAAATTATATATTAAATATTCAATTTTTATACATCCCTCTGATTTTCTAATTTTTAATCATTCATTCTTCTTCTTTGGCATATTTTAAATTTTAACATAGCGTTAAAATTGTTAATTAGTAATGTCAATAATGAGTTTTAAGAAAAAAGATGAAATTGAAAAATTTATTGTAATTCTTCCAATGAGTCATTTGCTCGACCAAACTCATCGGGTGGTTTCGTTAAAAAAAAAAAGAAATATTTCCTGTTCTTCCTATTATTCTCTTTTTCAAAATAAAAATCATTCATTTTCTTTTTCTTTTCCTTGCTCCTTTATCAATTCTAACAAATTTTTTTCTTTTCCCTTTTTTTTTTTNTTTTTTTTA